ATCACTTCCAGGAAGTATACCATGAAAAGCATATCAAGAAATTTTGGGACAAAGCCAGGCACATGATCAGAAATATACACATTGTTGGACCTGAAGAAAATCTGAGTCAAGCTGATGCCAGGAACATGGGAATGTAATTTTATTTTTAATCATTTATCTTTTTTAAAGTGTATATTTCTCATAAAGCCAAACATAGATCTTGAGTGGGAAGTGTCTGATTAAAATGAACAAGAAACAAATGTATTTTTAATGAAACGCCCCAGCTAGGTTTATGAGTAAGTTTTGTGTTTATATGTGGGATTATTTCTCATTGGCTAGGATTCAATGCTCCATTGCTGAAATTTTTGACATATGTTTCTATAATATTGAGAGCAATAGTTAATGTTCAAAAAGAGCAGATGTTGTCGATTATTCATCAGCCTCTCTGTTAAGATCATTACTTCATTTTTGGTTTACTTAAAACATTTCTGCTGTCCCTTTCAGTAGAATGTACTGGTGCAGCTATTCATTTTTAAAAAAACAACATTTAGCCTCAATATTTAAACAATAAAGAACAGAAATAATAAAGAAATATTACAATAAGATAAAAACAGGAAGAGTGGCAATAAAAAATTAAGCAACAGCAGGAATGAAATGCATCGTCCATTGCAAGTTCTGGATAATAGCACTGTCTCAAACTGACATCTGAGAGCTAATGAAATAGCCACAAACTGTGTATCTCTGGAGAGGATGCTCTAAAGCAGTGGTCCCCAACCTTGGGCCTCCAGATGTTCTTGGACTTCAACTTCCAGAAATCCTGGCCAGCAGAGGTGGTGGTGAAGGCTTCTGGTAGTTTTGGTGCAAGAACATCTGGAGGCCCAAGGTTGGGGACCACTGCTCTAAAGTATTTTCCTTGTGACCTCAGGAGGAGTATTTCCAATCATTTCCTAACACTGGTGGGATCATGAGTGTTTCAGGAGGCCACATCTATGTAGATGTTTCTCTAGGATCTCCTTCCATACCTGAGAAGCAATCTTTTTCAGAGAAGCAAAATTTTCAGAATTTTTGCTGAACTCTTATAACAGTGATGGGCTATCACAGGTCATGGGCCTCATGCTGCTCCCATAAACATTGTTGTGGTTCTCCAGTCATCACATACACTCTGCAAAAAGTATTAGGATGTTTGGGGGAAAGTCTTTTTTTTTTCTAAGAACGTTTTCTTATGTCCCTCTAGGGATGGGGGTGGTGGTTTTGCCACTTCTGAGAGGTACAAGCATTCCTGTTTCCCCTTTAAATTGTATTTATTCATTTATTTTTCTCCACTGAGGGAGGTTTTAAAGCTTAAAACCCACATTTTTCCTGCTAACAGGTCGCAGCAACTTTTACAAACAATTTTTTAAAAAAATACCTATTAGCCTCCTTAGACTCTTGCATTTTTTGCTCTTCCCACCTGGGAGTGTAGCCATTGGGCTGCCACCAAACCTGGAAAATTGGCCTTCAGTCGTTGCCCACCCAAGACCGTAAAAATCCTCCAGGTTTTGTGATTGCTTACTTGAAACACTAACCAAAAAGGCTGACCCCTTTGTGTCTGTGCACCCTTACCCCTCACATCTGAAGGTTGTATCACCCAATGAAAATCTTAAAGAGAACATATGTTTGCAGATCTTCATACTCCACCATATATTTTAAGACAAAAACATAGGAAGTTTAAAACAGTTTATATCCATATACATGTATATCCATATTTAAAAGTAAATATGAACAACGTAAGTAATGCTGCAGTTATGGTATTAAATATGTAGCACTGACAAATAAACTGGATTTTATACACTGTTCAAGCAAGTTTAGAGATTGCACTTGCACATCACATGGGCCATAGTATAATTTGTTGAAATCTACCTTGTTATATATGAACCTACCTTTGCTGGCAACTAACCATTTTGTTAATCAGCCACATACCACAATTTACAGCCCTGTCTTTATTGCTGGCTTCTAGAATACAACTTTTTAAAACCCTGGTTTGTTGTAACATTTGAGGCCACAACTCTTGACATGTCCCTGGTTATTTTTCTAGCTGTCCACCCTAAAATAGGTACTGATTGAAGGTGTGGAAAGCAATTAACCATAAATGTTTTTCTGTACAATTTGTGCCTTCAGTAACAAACCAAGACTTGCTGTAATATGCAGTTGTGCCCTGTGAGCTTCTTGCCACTTGTTGTCTGTCTGTTTTCTCTACTCCTTTCAGACAGACTTATCCCCTCTTATAAGTCAAGGACATGTCTGATGTTGAACCACCAGTTGCCCAAGTCTTTTCCCTATTCCAAAAGTTGACCAGGATATTCACAGGATCAGTATGAATATCAACTGGATAAGTACCCTGGAGAATTGTGGAATCCATCTAGATTTGTAAGTCTTCAGGGACAGACCATATGAACTGCCTCCCCACCCCTTCTCCAATCTTCCATTATGTTTTTCATTGAGAAGTCACAGAACCCTTTGCTCTCAAATAACCTTTTGACAGAACAGTGAAAAATGATTTATCCAGTGTATGATGTGCAACTGTTTCCTGTTTTCTATACGATACAGCTGGTTCTCATCTCATTGAGGGGCTGCACTAAAGTTAGACTTTAAGCAGCCAACTGCAGATTCTAATAATAGAGAATATGCAAGAGATCAGAATCTTCATAGCTTTGCAGAAATGATAAAAAAAGGTATAACTTTCATTATCAGATCCTGGAAGTGTGTTTCTTCCCCAACACACAGTAATCATGCACTAGCAGTTCAGCAGGCAGTAGCCACAATCCTGTTGATATTTTACACATACACAAAGGGAATGATATAAAGTTCTGTGGTTAATTCAGACTAATTGAAATCTGCCAACCATGTGCCAAGTGCATGGCTGATAGTACAAGTAGATGTGTGACCAGCATGCACGTGATACTTCAACTTGTGATTCCTCTTGTAGGTGCATGAAGCCCCAACAATATTTTGACCAGCGAATTAGCATTCTCTGGTGTAAAACTGTCCAACTGTCTATATTAAAATAGATTTCAGTCTATTTCCAATTGTAGAATAATTATTTTGGACATTTAAAGATTACAATGGAGGAAAAAAAAGTGATATTAAAATCCAGACACTGGAATAGTAGATATATATATTAGGTAAAGGGCGGTGCTCATTCCCATCTCCAAGCCGTAGATATTTTCTGTGGTCACGTGGCCAGCGTGACTAGACACAGAACGCCGTTACCTTTTTATCTACTGGTGGTACCTTTTTATCTACTCGCTTTTACATGCTTTCGAACTGCCTCTGAAGCACTATCGGCAGTGGGGGGGACCTCCGAGATGCCTCCCGTGCCACAGAGAATCCCTGGAAGGCATCCAGAGGTACGACCTGCAGCCTACAGACTGGTAGGGAATTTTAATTTGGTGCTTTCCCCACCTCCCCCTTCTGGTCCGTAGGTCGATTCTCCGGCCGCAAGTCAAAGTGAAACTTTGCGGCCGGAGAAGTCCGTAGGTCGAAACGTTCGTAAATGGAGCTGCTCATAAGTCGAGGCTCCACTGTATTTGAAGTTATAGCTGTCATTTCCCATTGAGAGGCATGGGATTTTTCACAGAGATCTGGAAATGCAAAATGCTTGAAGGGAACAGGCACAATCTGTGTGCTGTTATTTGGTGATGGACCAGGAAGGAGTGTATGTTCCTAATAGACATCATAAAGAAAACACTTAAAATCAGAAATCCAGAACCAGATAATTCCCAAAATGGGCAGCATGATCGGCCATGGAAGTCTGGGATCAAAATCTTTATCAAACAACTGAACTGAGCTAACTGAACTGAGCTGGAAAGGAGCTTTGCACATAGTGGAAACCACCAAAGAGAATTTCCAGATTATTACTAGAGAAACAACTGTGGATCATATACAATGGGCAGTTTCTCCCCTAGTGATCTTAATGATCACAAAGGACTTGATCCTAGCTTATTTAATCACGTTGACTTCTATGTTTTACAGTGTGTTGGTATTTTTTAAATCCTACATCTCTTGCTCTATAAATCAACTCACCAACCAATCAATCTTGAATGTAGCTCACCAGGCTTGTAAAACTTATTTTAAAAAATATTTTCACTTACATAAGTGGTGAGAGATTAACTGTAGTGAGTATATCTTTAGGTAAGATTTGATTTTGTAACATGAGAGAATCTGGAGGAAATTTGAGTCATGACTGATAAATTACAAAACCCATAGCAATGAATCTTTTAGAAAATTTCAGATGTTTCCAAAATTCAGAAATCAAAAAGACAACTTTTGCAAATGGCAAGAAAGATTCTTAGAACAACTTACTTCTGACAAAGCAAGATTGCTGGTGGTAACCAAACCACTGGCTCTCACTGGCCACTTTGGGATGATTGTATCTCAGTAGGTCAGGATATTATTTTGGCCATTATTCTTCCTTTCTGGTGAGCCACAAAGCAAAGAAAGCAAAAAATCTTCTTTAGTTAACATTTTCCATTATGTCTGAATTGAGAAGCTATACTTAACAACTTGACAGAATCAACTTTTACAATAATAGAGTTGGAAGGGGGCCTATAAGGCTATTGAGTCCAACCCCCTGCTTGATACAGGAATCCAAATCAAAGCAGATCTGACAGACAGTTGTCCAATTTTCTCTTGACCGCCTCCAGCATCTGAGTGCTCACCACTTCCCAGGGTAATTGGTTCTATTGTCATTCTGTTACAAGAGTTAACAGGTTTTTCCTGATATTCAGCCTAAATCTGGCTTCTTTGAGCCCATTATTACTTTTCCAACACTCTGGGACAATTGAGAATAGATCCTGCCCCTTCCCTTTAGTTAACATTTCACAGTCTTCAGTTATCATTTCACATTATGTTTGAATTGAGAAACTGTACTTAACAACTTCAGCATAAGTCCAACTATGAAACTATAGGTTGGCATTGACTTAATAATTCATACTTACTCTTGCCATGAAGAGGCTGTGTGTATAACCCACAAGTTTTTCCCCCCAAGTTTCATCTTATTCAGTTGAAACACAGTTGTTCAAACCACCCTGCTAACTAGTCACTGATTGGGTTTACAGAATGTCCAGAACAGATAGACAGTTCAGATTTGATTGACACAGGAGTCTAATGCATCCAGATTTCCAGAAAAGGGACAATAGTCAGAACACTTAGATGGCATCATAGCAATGGGCAACACTGTGATATAACAGTAGCTGGGATAGGTTGCTATGGATGTGTTTGATTTTGTCTGCTCAAAGTATTTTTGGATTGAGGAGAGAGATTTGCAGAGGCAGCCTAGCAATTTAAATCTGAAATGTGTAGAATTTCTCACACCACATGATTTAAGACTCCTTACAGTGGAGGAACTGGACTTTTCCCCCAGTATCTAGAAATGTATCATTGTTTGCGGAGTGCACTAAGCCCTAGTAACTCCAGCAATATGCATGAATAAAATATTGTTTGTGTTTATTTTCAATAAACATACATTATGGTTGTTGTGGGTTTTTCGGGGT